TGAGGGAAGAGGGTCAGAGGGAGAAGCAGACTCCCTGCCGAGCAGGGAGCCCGATGCGGGACTCGATCCTGGGACTCCAGGATCATGACCTGAGCCGAAGGCAGTCGCTTAACCAACTGAGCCACCCAGGCGCCCGACTTCCAGATTTTGAGCAGTAGCAAGACGATAGCTAGGAGGTGGGAGAGGTCTCCCAGGAATCGGAAGAGATTCATGCTTTGTGGGGGGGGGGGCCCTGGGGGGGGTGGGCTGGGGGGGGGGGGGGGGGGGGGGGCCCGCGGGGGGGGGCCGCCCGGGGGAGGGGGCTCTGGGAGGGGGTTTTGCTTTTTTATCCATTTTGTCACCCCATGTCTTTTGATTGGAACATTTAGTACATTTACATTCAAAGTAATTATTGACAGGTATGTACTTATTACCATCTTGTTTTATGGTTGTTTCTGCAGTTCTTCTCTGTTCCTTTCTTCTCTTCCTCTCTTCTCTCAGGGTTTGTTGACTTTCTTTAGTGATATACTTGGTTTTATTTCTCTTTATTTTTGTGCATGGTCATTTTTATGGTCCTACAGTACAATGCAAAGGGAGAACTGCATATCTATATGTATATATCACAATAATTATTACCATCCTCATTACTCTGATGAGAAAATTAATGCTTCAGAGAGTCTAAGCTACTTGTCCAAGGTCATGCAGATAATAAATAGTAGAGCTTGGATTTACATCTATGCCGTCTGCCTCCAAGACCTGCACCCTTAACCATTATACCACAATGTTGCCCCTACCAAGCTATAAGCACTTCAAAGACAGGGATCATAGCTTGTGATCTTTAAATGCCTGGCATGTAGACATTTGATAAATACACGTTGAGTAAATGAAAAACAAAAAAGAATAAATGAAATAGGAACTATAAAAGGAATTAACATTTATTGTTTGAAAATAATGAGAAAAAATTAAGACCAATCGAACACTAAGTAGCAGCAAACTTACAGATGTCCATCAGTTGTAGATAAAATGGACAGATCTGAAGTCATCTCATTTGCTGTGAAAGCCAACCATTTCTGAAATGTTTGGAAACATATAGCAGATGCAGAAGATTATGGGTATTTGCTAAGAAACTTCTGGTGATGGTCATTATATCAGAACACACTTGACAAAGACTTTGGGGAATAAAGAATGAAGGTTTCTTTTCCTGATCCTTTCATACAGTAGTTCTAGGTGTGGAAACTATTCCATGAGCATCCTCTGAGAAAGGCAGGCAGTAGCCCCTCTTGCCACTGGCCTGAGTAGACACTAGCAGCTCCCAGTCCAGTGCAGCAGCTCCCAGTCCAGTGCAGCAGCTCTTAAACTTAGGCATCTATGGATGGGCTTCAAAAGTCCACAAGTTCCATAGTGGGCTCTTGGACTGAGCGTTGGGTGTTCTATGCAACTGATGAATCACTAAATTCTACCTCTGAAACTCACTTTAAAAAAAAGTCCACAAGTCCTTCCAAGTATCAGGTTGATTGCCACATTTTGTGTTAACAAGTTTATAAACTCTATGGGAGGAAAAAAGAGAAAAACATTCAACTGTGTTTGGAAATTTTTGTACCAGGAGCTGTCCCCATTTTCAGAGTGAGTACTACACCTTCTGGAACAAGTTTTAAAGCCCCACTGGCTGTCATTTGGAGGAGGGGTTGAACAGAAATAGACCCTTACACCACACCTGAAAACCACCTGAGATTTGTGGTTTGTGTCTGTGTCGGGAAAGTTCCTGTTGAAGTCTTGAGGAAAGGGTCCAAACAATCAAACTTAGAACAAAGCTCTGTTTGGAAAGCCCAAACCAGAGGAAAATCAAGAAGAGTTGCAGATGTATAAAAATAGATATGGGTCAGGCAGAAATATGGAGATGAGAGCTTGTGGGCTGCAGAAGCCAGTACATTGTGTTTTGTTCTGTTCTGTTTTTACAGCCACAGCATTTGCCCAGGCAATAAAAATGAAAGAGCAAGAGAGAGACAGGGTAGGTAAGGAAACCAGCGTGAGTAAGAGCGGACTCAAACTGTTATAAGCACAGACTGCCAGCCTTAATATATTCATGGAAAGAAATCAGCTCATCTGGGAGAGAAGACTCAGAGCAGATATGAGATGGGGAACATACATCCTCCTGCTGGCTCCCATGAAAGGCAATGCTTCCCAGAACAAAGGAATGCCCCTGGGGACTAGCACAGCATCTATGATTAAGCCTTTGAAGAATACACCCTCCCATTTTAACTCAAGGCCCTAATCCACCAAAAGAATAAAACCTACTTTCTAAACAGGGGTCTGAGGTTAGCTTTGTTGAAAGAGCTCCAGTCTACACTTGGAAACCCTAGAGCTCACAAAGAGAGAACTACTGGTCCCAGGACCTTCTTTAGGTACCATTCACTCACAGGAAGTGAGCAGGAACTTCTCTGTTCCAGAATATCACTTCTAGCCTTTGGAGAAGTGTTGATCTCCTTACGTCTGAGATTCCTTTAGAATGGATGAGCCACTCTGGGCCAGCCTAGACCAATCGGTGTGCTAGATGGGAGCAGAAACCAAAGCCACCCTTGGGGTCCTTGTCTTAAAGACCTTCCCTAAAAAAAGTCATAATTAAAGTTATCAGAGCTCACTTGAGTCAGTGGGCACCACGGATTTGATTAGTGTGTAAAGGGAGTATCAAGGCTAATGCTACGTCTTACATAAGGAGGAGGAGAGAAGATCCATCATGAAAAAAGCTAAGGGACTCAGATAACCACAGGAAACAAGATTTCATTATTTGAAATTTTAAAATATGCCAGAACTGTGTGTTAACTGCACACATAGATCCTGTCTCTCCTCAGTGAGGCCCAATAGATATTTCAAAAAAAAAAATGTGTAAGAGATGGAGAATTTAATTTAGCAGAAATTCTCTGGAAGAATGTTCTCTCTCTCTCTCTCTGTCTCTGTCTCTCTCTCACAAACACGCCTCCCACAATCCAGTCATAAGACAGCCCTACAGTTCACAGGAGTCTCCTTATAAATTTTTAGCTAGAGAACAAAAGAGGGTGGAGAGTTTGCACCCTTAAGGGTCTAGACGGTTGAGTATGAGTGTTGAAAAGAAGAAAAACATTTTATCAAATGATATTGTGGGATTTCTGAGATATACAATTTATAAGTACTTTAAAAATTATTTTCAGTTGCTTCACCCTTCTTTGAAAGTAGCACTTGGTGGAAACTGAATCATATGAGGTCCCTGCTTAGATTTGGGTTTCAGGCATTTCTTCTTCAATAGTCAAAACAGTTTCAAATAAAAACAGAGATTCCTACACCCCTCCCATTTGGTATCTCTCCCCATTATCCCAGCCCTTCCAGCCCTTTCCTGTGATTCATCTAGAAACTTCTTGCTTTACTGACTTTGGTAATGCTTTCCACACCCCTTTCCAGTTTTGCACCCTTGCCCAGTGTCTGTGACACCAGCTTCAGATGAGATTCCTCTGTCCTTAGGAGGACTTTAGAGAACATCTACAGACTGAAAAGGACACATTTCCCAACGAATATCACGATGATTATCTTGTCTTGTGAAAAAGGTGAACATTAGTAGGCTAATAAAAAACGTTTTAGGTACAAGATGCAGTATTTTGAGTAAAGAAAACAGGTAAGAAATTTTACTCAAGAAAGGGTTCACCTTGATTAAAGGTGTTAAACTTTGATATGCTAAAAAAGGGTTAAACTTTGATATGCTAAAAAAAAAAAAACCATAGTCAACCAATAAGAAATATGCCCCTACTTTTAAGGAGTTAGAACATACTGGAAATTATCCTTAAAAAAGTGGGTGAGAATCCTTACAAGTCTCAAGTTAAGGTGGCAACCTGGTCCCCTTCTTAGTCCCGGCCCAAGGAAGCCTGTCTCTTTTATGTAGAAGAACCTCTGCTGCGAATTACATTACAAGGCACTTGAGGATGGGGACCACATTTATTTATTTTGAATATCTATGCCTATTACCATGTAGAGCCCATAGAAGCACCGAATACATGCTAGTTGAAGGAATAAATATAATTAAATTCCTTAACCATTGGAGAAATTGCTCAAAGTTTTTATTCTATTTTATTTTTTAATTTTATCAGTCCACATGTGAAAGCTTTGGTTAGGGTCAAAAAACTAACTGCATCCTTGGGTAAAAACCATTTTGTTTGGATCCCTGGGCTTGCATGATTTGTAGAAGGCCTGGGTTTCTGTGATGAAATAAAAGGTTTTTCCTTTATAATATTTTGGTTCTCCAAATTTTCAAAAATGTATTTTTATGGTTTCTCTTTGTTTTTGTTTAAAAATAAACTTGTTGTGTGTGTTGGGGTTGGGTAGAGGTGCTCAAGAAGAAAGAACAACAGCAAACAAACAAAAAAGCCACTTTGATTAAGCATAGTTAGTGAGCTCAGTGAAGCATGTTTCATCCTGATGCCAAATGACGCTCACGAAAATTGCAGCAATTTTTGATGCACTTGCCAATGTTTGTGTTATTTTTACTTTAAAGATGTAGCAGATTGCTCCAAAATAAATAATTTAAGCCTAACGTTTCAAAAGAGTCCAAGCGCTTGCGTCTTTCACTTCTGGCTTCTCTTCTGGGACTAAGCTGTGCCCAACAGAAGCAATCCTCATTTCTATGTAACACTCCATTTGGAGGGCTGTTTTCTTGCTTTGTTTTTCAAAGTTGAATCTATTTCTCACCATTCTGTTCCAAATGTCGTAGATTCTATCATTGTTCTGCGCTGAAGCCATAACTCCTCTTATTCAGGAAAACAAGGGAATAAACTCCATAGCATCTGGTTTCCTGACTTTGTGGGAGGAGGTTTCCAAGGGGTGCTCTGGGGTGAAGATCTAATCCAAGCCCCATGGGGAACTACAATTTCCATATTGATTCACATTTAGATTTCGAGCCATCAATAATGGGTCAAATTTTGCGCACATCCTCAGTATAACTTAAAATAGGTTGGCAAATTACCTTCACACAAAATGACCCCATCCTCAATCAATTATTAGACTTCTCATTTGATTGTCTTTGTGGTAAAATCTAAGAGAGGAGAAACATCTATGATTTAAAAAAAAATAAAAAGTAAGTCTTTGTGCTGTTCTGTACTTCCTAACTGTGCATGAATGGCTTTTATAAACAAGAGAAAATGGCTTTTATAAAACGATGAAGTATAAAAAGACCAGAACAATAAACCGACGGCCTTGTGTTCTCATTAACGTAGGCCGCCACTGTGAGGTCCATCAGATGATTGGGAACTACATGTGGGACCCCACCACCAACAAGTCATTTGACATTGGTGTCAACAAAGACAGCCTGATGCCTCTCTGGTGGAATGGATCGGAACCTCTGTGGGTCACTCTGACCAAGGCCAAAAGGAAGGTCTACATGTACTACTGGCCAGGTGAGTGTGTTGACATCCAGGTCCCTCCAGCCTTCCAAATCTCAAACACTGTGGAGTCTCTGAAGACAAATGATGTGGTTGTCATGTTCGAAGACCAAGCCAGAGTTTGGAAAATAGGGTCTTTACAAGAAATATGTCTTATGGGCATAATTTTTAAACTTTTGTTTTGAGCTCTCTAACATCAGGCCAGACACAATGCAATTTCCTGATTTCCTTGGTTCAGCAATGTTGCTGTAGTAGATCATGCTTTTTTCATGAGCAAAATTTTGGATGTCCAAAAGAGATAAATGATGTGTTGCTTCTCTGCTTTACAAAAGAATTTGGCACACTGTTTCTATAGATTTTGAGCTCCCCTGTAATGTTGAAAAGACGATTTAAAGCACTTACAACTTTTTGGTACTGCATTAAATGAGGTCTCTTTGTATTAATATTCCTCCTGTACATCATAGACCAATGAGAAACTAAATTACTTTACTTACTGCAATGAGGTAAGTCATGCAAACTACCCTGGCTGCTGTGAGAAGTCTTCAGAATACTTTCCTCTTGGCAGTCAAAAATCTTGCACCAAGGATGAGAGGATTCAGTGATAACAATATAATCAACTTACAGTTGTCTTCCCATTGGTTCCCATTGGGATTCATTCTTTAGGTAAGTGGGTAATTTGACTTCCCGATGTACATGGCTGTAGACACTTTTTTCCGAATTCTTAATGGTGTAATACTGCTGAGTGCCACGATGGAAGAAGATGTCAGGGGAGGCCTGGAAGAAATGAAGGGAGTAATGGGGAGAGGCCGCTGGGGGACTTCACTGGCCTCTGTTGGAGGGCAGCAGCAGCCTGATAAAACTGTGAGAGCACGGTGGGTTGTGGGGGACGGTGGTAGGTGGGGGTCGGGAAGAACAGAGAGAAGGATGAGTAAGCCGAGGCTGAATCACAGATGGCCCACACTGAGGGCGTGGGCTTTCAGCAGGAGTGGTTGGAGTGGTCACGTGAGAGCTGCTGAGGGCACTCAAGGCTGTGCCAACTCTTGGAAGAGCATGGAACACAGACAGATGGAGACCGTGGAAAACGGACCCACAGCCATGCTGGGTTAAGGGCCCGGAAAACTGCCACAGAGCAGAGACTAGCATCCATAGGTGAGCCCATGAAGGCCAGAGCAGTCTGCATAAATTAGAAACTGGGCTTAAGAACAATTAGACACAGGCTGGCTCTGCTGGCAGATAGAATTTCAGGGAGAGCACTGGAGTTTCTTCAGAAGATCTGGGATTCGGTCCATAGAAGCTACCTCGGCTGACATGAGAAGAAGCTTTCAAGCAAGGGAAGGATTTAAGGGGACTTCATTACCTTAAATGGAGACTCAACTTTCCAGAGTTGGACATGAGATTAAGAAAAGAAGCCAGTGCACCAGCCAAGCTAATCAGACTTGCTGGAGGAGCCAGGCTCATGGTTCAGCCCAGTGTGATGAGGTCTCAAGCCAAAAGATGCACTTTGAGGTCATTCTCAGAAATCATTATGAACAAATACAAGGCCCACATGCCAGGGCCTAGGAGAAGGAACAGATTGGGCATGCTGCCTTAGGGACCACCTTAGACAAGTCTAAGGACCATCAAGATGCCTGTTACCCCAGCGCTGTAAGGGCCATCTTCTATGGTAGCTGGTTAATTTAACTTCCTCTGTCTTGGAACTTGAGTTTTTCATGCTCTGAAGAGCACATATCCCCCATCATCTCTCCCCAGCTCCCCACGTGCTGCCTCCTCTACACATGATCTCCTGCCAGTGGCCTTTCAGATAGCAGTGGATGCCAATGTGCATGAAGGTAGGGAGTGGTCCTGAAGGGAGACAGCTGCCCTATTTTAGACCTCTCTCTGCAGCATTACAGAGCATTATTCTGTATCTCCTCCTGGAGGATCTGGCTCCTTCAGGATAATAAACAACTTGAAGTTACACATCTCTGAGTATCTAAAAAAAAAAAAATCTCAAAGCTAATTTGCATGTAAAATATCATGTTCTCCTCCAAAACAGCTCCTTAAGGGCAAGAAAGTTCCAATCGCTTCTTTTGATTCACAGTTTAACAGCTAATGTGTGTTATAACATTAACAGCTAATGTGACAAATATGCCTTATAATCAGTTTAGGGCGTTAACTATTGGGAGGAAAGAAGCTGAAAAGAAAATCTCCTAGGATTTCCTCAGTGACCTAAATGAAGATGAGCTCAAGATCTGGCCGTGTTGAAGTCTTGATAGAAATCAGATGAATAGTCTCTTCTCAGACACTGTCCAGTCCTTCTAGGACCTTCTAGGCTGGATACCCAAGTAAAGGCTCTCCAAGAGCTAAGTGTCTCTGAAGCCCCTGCCCCCTGGCCCAGGCAGGAGTGCTCTTGCACCCTCCATTTTTACTGGCTGCCAGCTGAGGGATGAATGGTCACTGCTATCCTTTCTCCCTCCACCTTGGTCCCCTCCAGCCCCTCCACACAGCTAACAGCCCAGTGAGCGTTCATTTGTCGCTACAAGATTAAGTGAAGTACAGTGGCGTTTCTTCTAAACATGACTTGATTTTATTTTTCTTCTCAAATCCTCCTCTTCCTTCTCCACTTCCCACAGGACATTGTACAGACCTCTGGATGAGGCCTGGAAAATCTTCATTGCTCCAGTGAGCTGTGTTATGACACTTTGAGTCTCACTGTGAAGTTAATATTTAGAAGTGCAATTTAGAGATGGCAGTAGTTCAAGTTTTTCCTGTCAGGTAGACAAAGCAGCAGACAGAAAAATTCGTCAGTGGTGAAGAGTCCCAAATAGCCCACCTCAAGTCTTGAGAAATTTAATATTGTAAACAGACCCTTTATTATCCCACCCAATGATGCCATTGAGCTGTGCAGGGAGAAGCGTACCATGGGAAATGATCCCCAGCCCTAGATCATATATTCCTTTGGGAAGCCCAAAGAGATCATCCAGGAACTGTATGGTGGGGGCCTAGCAGTGTTCTGCAAAGGAAAAGGGCTGAGGGTGTGTTGCTCATTAACTTTATCTCCTATTCCATCCCTCTGGTTTGAGATCAAAGAAATTTTACTGAGGGGGAAGGGAAGAGGCTCCGATACTCACTTCACAGTAAGAGCATCCCAAAGCAGAGAAGGGTGGAGGAGGAGGAAAAATGAGGGGAAATGGGAGGATAAGGCAGATACCATGTGGAAACTGAGTTTGAGCTCCTTGGACAGCACACAGGGGCAGTGGTTTTAAGTTGGTTCTTATGGCTGCTGTGAAATCCCAAAAAGGAATAAAGATTAACAACTTTTTAGGAGTCTCTGGTTAAAACTCCTTGGAATGTTTGAAGACTCTGAGTTCTATGTCTTTTATCATGCATTTTGCAGTGTGAACTCCCTACAGCCAAATACTCAGGGGGACTGGGGAGCCACCAGTCATATGGCCCTGGAGAGCGCTGGGTGCGGGTCTGGGCTCTTCTACCGACCTCTTTCTGTCCTGTGCAGGTGTTCAGATAAATAAGGCACCTTCTTCGTAGGGAAGGACACATTTCCACCTTGCTTCCCTTCCCTACATTCCAGAGGTGGGCTGGGTGGGGACTTTAGGGGTGAGTATCTAACTGAGCTCCTACCAAGCAAGGTGATTTCATCTGCATAAGTCAGGAGACATGCATTGGCTATTGATGGAAAATTATGGATTGTTCACAGCCTCTTCCCCTTTCCTGCTGTGGTGGGTTCCTGACAGCCTTCAGCTGGGCTGAATTTGGTTGCATACACTAAGGCACAGGGAAGATTAGGGGCCCAGCATCAATTATACAAATGAGTGAATTAACGTTAGGAATGGCTCAGTTCTTTGACTCTATGAACAGGACTCCAAATATCTGAATAAAAACTGAAATTCTTTTTTCAGACAAATGTTTGACATTGCAAATGCATGGGATCCAGAGTTTCACTAAATTTTCCAATAATATCACCAAATTAGCCTTAGACTTTAAGATGTATGTAACTTCAGAACACAAAGAGGCCCTAGTATGTAGTTTGCTCATTCCTATACTTGTAAATCAGGACCTCTTTAGGAAACTCATCAAAACTTTGGATCCCCTTTGCAGAAAAACCCACCCTTGCATACAACACTCATAATTTTGTCCTCAGGTAATACAAGAAACTACAATGATGAGGATTGGCAAAAGGACTTTGACATAGAAACACACATATATCTAATCTATAATTGATTTGATTTTTTTTAATGTGATAAAAACATGTGTTAAAAATCATGGAAGTACCAAGCGAAACTCAAGCTCCTGTAATTAATCTTGTCTGGCTAGAATGGGCTTGGGTCAAAACTCTCTAAGACTCTTTGGGTTGAATTCACCTTGAGTCATTTCCTCTGTTTGTCAGGAACTTTGGTCAGGTCTTCATCCCTGATATTTCTGTCTGTGTCAGTAAGAAAAAGATTATGAATTCTCATTTCCAGCTGAAGGGTGTCTCTAAGAAGTGATCTTCAAAAGCATTCTGTAGGACTTCTCAGCATCAATGATCTCTGCTGCAGAGAAACTGAGGAGGTGTTGCCTATCTGGATCACTGCCGGCGGGAGCAATTCCTCCAGTGCTAGAAAGTTTTCATAGATGCCCAACCACATGCAATCTCCTCTCGCAGGCTAGCATCTTGGCCAAAAGAGCTCACAGTTTCTCAGCAGCATCCATGATGGTAATTAGAAAGCCTTAAAGAGAAATCCAGGGATGAACTTCTTTTTTTTTTTTTTTGAAGATTTTATTTATTTATTTGAGAGAGAGAGAGCACATGAGAGGAGGGAGGGTTAGAGGGAGAAGCAGACTCCCTGCTGAGCAGGGAGCCCGATGCGGGACTCGATCCCGGGACTCCAGGATCATGACCTGAGCCGAAGGCAGTCGCCCAACCAACTGAGCCACCCAGGCGCCCCCAGGGATGAAGTTCTATTCTTCACAAGTCATGGCAAATCTATTTCTTCATAAAACATCTTAAAAGGGTGTGACTCCAGGCCCTGAAATCC